AGCAGTGGCCCCAAAACAGATCCTTGAGGTACACCACTAGTAACTGAGGGATATGGGCCAAATACTGGCAATGGAACTAGATTAATTTAGGATATCTGGTCAGCATGGATGAGTTGGACCGAAGGGACTGTTTCCGTGCTGTATAACTCTATGAGTTTGTCAATAGCCTTTAAGATCAGCTTTTGAAACCTACCTTACCAATCAGATTCAACCAAACTACATGTAGATTAAAGTCACCCATTATTTGCAATGCCTTTCTAACAACCCATTTATTTCGTGGTATACTTTATCCTATCATGTAACTATTGCTTGGGGCCTTTAAAATACTCCCATAAATGGTCTCAGAAACTTCCAAAGTATTTTATTTATAGCCATTTATTGCTGTTTTAGGCCAAGGTTATCTCTCATGATGCATGAATGGCCTCCCTAATGAAGAGAGCTACCCTCCTCCAGAAATCCTTCTTCCAGCTTCTCCTCACTTCCTATCTTTTCAAAATGTCACATACCCTTCAATGCACAAACCCAAGACTTGGTCACCCTGCAACCATGTCTCTGTCATGTCTTTTGTTTTATTTCCAAATACACCCATTTGGTTACGAATGGTTGCACACATTCAGATGCACAGCGTTTAACTCTGACTTTTTTTACCAATTTTGCAAGCTCTGGCCATGTCTGTGCAGTGTTGGTGTGGGTCTAAGGTTATGCTCTCTGTCCCTTCCTGCTATAATCCTGTTATAATTCCCCTAAGCAGATCCACACAGTATTATTGTTATTTCCCTTCAACTTCTTTGATTTGTTCATGGGACGTGGGTGTCACTGGCCAGGCCAGCATTCAGTGCCAATCCCTAACTGGCCAGAGGACAGCTAAGAGTCAGCCACATTGCTGAGGTCTGGAGTCACATGTCAGCCAAACAAGGTAAGGAAGGTGGATTTCCTTCCCTGAAAGATATTAGTAAACTGGATGGGTTTTAAGAACAATTGAATTGTTACGTGGTCACTCTGAGACATTTTTAGTCCAAATTGTTACTGAATTCTAAAGTCACCATCTGCTGTGGCAGGTTTGAACCCATGTCCCTAGAACATTACCTGGGCTTTTGGATTGCTTGCCCTGTGCTTACTATTCTCCTCTCAGAAGATCACTTCTCCCTGCTACCTCTCTACTGCTGCAGCGACATGGCTCACCAGAACAGTGACCCCCAACTTGTTCGAGCCAAGCCCATCACAGTGACGCAGTCCCCACTTTCCCCATCACGGGGACCAGTGCCCAGCCAATGGAAATCTGTTTCTCCCACTCACTGGCCTCTCCAAGGGTTTGGCTCTGCGTGAACTTGCTCATGGCTCAGGTACTCATCCAGACGTTTACCTTTCAGATTCTGCCTCGTCTCTGAGCTTCTCATCACCCCTGAACAGAATCTCCTTCTGATTCTAATCAGTGTGGTGATGCTCACACGAACAGTGGAGCCTCCCTTTCTCGCTGTGAGCTCATCCCCAGCCTCGAACAGACAATGTGAGTCCTGATACCAGACACGCAGCTGAGCTGTCCCCTTTCATGCTGTCAACCAGTTCTATCCCTGCGTCTGGTCACCCCCCTGCCCCACTTTGAAATAGTTTCATTTGATCTTTGCCAGTAACCTGTCAGCAGAGACAGGGGGTTTAATATCCCCTCTGTGGCTGTGCAGCACTTCCTCAGGCCTGTACACACAACTGATAGCATGGTTTTGGTGTAGGTTCTGAATCGAACGCCTTCCAGCCTAAAGACAAGTGTGCTACCTATATAAGCCATTGAGTCAAACTACCAGCATTATTACAAGGCATGAAGAGAAGTTAAAAGGTGTCCCAACATGAGCAGATACAATCAGCTGAAGTTGCAATCAATTGTGACCTCCGTGGTAAAGTACCCTGGTATGTGAGGCAAAAGCATGGCCAAAACTGTGCTGTAAATATGATGCCTTCTGTGGCCGAATATGCACTAACACAAGAGGTTAAGTTTGGACATATCTAAAATGCCCTTTAAGGAAGGGCTCATCTTTCAGGAATCAGACGGGAGAAAATACAAAAGATGCTGATGGAGTTGGTGATATTTGGACTGGACCTGAATTAAAACCATTAACAACTGCACCCAATCCAGACTTCAATGAGCACCAGTTACTTGCGAGTCTCCCTTCGCAGAAGGACCCTGCCTTTCAATGGACCTTTTGGGAAAAAATCTCAAAGTCAGCACAGAAAGCATTGTGAACTGTGTGAAGACCAGGGCAGAACTTCAGAAGGACAAAGTGAGCAAAGACATGTTGTTGGAATAGGCAGATAGACAGATGCAGTTCCATGTGGAGAATTGTGAAGTGGTACATTTTGGGAGGAAGAACATGGAGAGACAATATAAAAGAAATGATGTTATAAAAACATCTCTAAGGGGGGTGCAGGAGCAGTGGAACCTGGGTGTATTTGTGCATAAGTCTTGAAAGATAGCTGGACAGGCAGAAAGAGCAGTTAATGAAGTGCAGGCTCTTCTGTTTTTACTAATCGGGGTATAAAGCACGAGAGCAAGGCAGTGATGTTCAACTTGTTTAAGATATTAGTTCAGTCTCAAATGGAGTGTTGTATCCTGTTCTCGGAGCTGTACGTAGGGAAGGTTGTGAAGACAATGGAAAGATTGCAGAACAGGTTTACAAGAATGGTTCCAGAAGTGAGGAATTTCAGTTATGAAGACAGACTGGAGAAAAAGGGAGTTGGGAAGAAGAGAAGCCTCAGAGCAGATTTGTTTGAAGCGCTCAAAGTCATGAGAGGGCTGGACAGAGTAAATATGGAGAAAATGTTCCCACTCGTGAAGGGATCGAGGATGAAAGGGTGTAGATTTAAAGTTCTTTGTGAAAGAAGCAAAAGTGATATGAGCAAAAGCTTTTTCACGAAATAAGTGGTTAGGCTGCAGAATGCACCGTCTTGGGAGGGTGGTGGCAGAGAGGTTAACTCGAGTGGTTAGGGTCTGGAATGTAGTGTCTGAGAGTGGGGGGGGAGGCAGGTTCACTCGAGTGGTTAGAGTCTGGAATGCACCGTCTGAGGGTGTGGGGGGACGCAGGTTCACTGAAGGATCTCTGAAGGTATTTAGACAGTATTTTGAAAAGGGACATCGTGCAGGGTTACAGACAGAGGCAGGAGAATGGCACTATGTGAGCTAGTATTTCAGAGAGCCAATGCAGACAAGATGGACTGAATGGTCTCCCCCTGCTTGGTAATAACTGTGATGAGATGATGCCTCAGTGAGCAAATTTCTCCTCTCAAAGTGAGAGGGTTTTGAGAACGACCCAAGGGAACAGAGCACAGTAGCTCCCACACCAAGCGAGTGCTGCACTGTCATTGATGCTGAGGGCCTATTTAGCCTCTCAGGTGGCTGGAAAAGACTTGACTGTTGGGAGATGCACAGAGGAGATCTCCTCACTGTCCTGGCTAATCTCTACCCCTCAGCCTACACTTATACCCTCGCCACAGGCTCCTGCTCAATGGGCCAAGTGCTCAATGACTCCTTCAGACCAAGTTGACCAGATGGGCTACAATAGTCAGGAGCAAAAACAAAGTTGCTGGAAAAGCTCAGCAGGTCTGGCAGCATCTGTGGAGAAGAAAACAGAGTTAACGTTTCAGGTCCAGTGATCCTTCCTCAGAACAATAGTCTACAATAGGCTACAATAGTCTCCAGCCTCCCTGCCCCGGGGGAACATGATCTTGCCCCTGCTGATCATCCTTTACCAGGCCAGCTTAGTAGTCATTGCCAAGAGGGGCCAGGATTTACTGAAGTGCCATCAGTTCACAGCTCGCTGTGACACTGAACCACTCAGCCTGATCTCACAGGGGAATGCACCAGGGCTACTAACAACTTACACTGGCTGGCACTGATCCAACTAGGACTTGGTTAAAATGCTGCTGCTTTCATTCGCTCTAGCTCAGAGGTTTAATTCTTCTGAAAATGCCTGTTCCCCAGATCCATCTTAGACTCTTTCTTCTGAACCTGAGAATTCAATGTGGATCTGATTGATGACTTCATATGGTGCTGCTTTACTTTAGTGGTTCCTTGTATCCATTTCTCTATTTATCTAGCTGGAGTTTTATAATTCCTATGAGCTGATTGGCTCCGTCCATTAATTCATGCGGAATTCTATGTCCCTCTTCCCTCACTGATAATTGCTGAACGATCCTTTGCGCTGCTATGATCACGTTTCATTCGCCCGTTTTGCAGTTTCAGTGGGAACACAACTGCCGGCCGATTGTCCAGCTCCCCCTCACTCCCTTCCCAAGTTTAGGCAAAACATTTCCTCTTGGAAACAAACAGAAAAGGCACTCACAGATGTCCAGTCCTGTTGGGGAGCAGGCTGCTCGGAGGAACATCCTGCAGCTCCTGCTTACTGCAGACCACCTTCCTCCGTACCTCCGGGTAACTGGTTCCTTTCGCCCTCTCATCCAGACAGATACAAGTGTTGGTGAGCAGTTCCGAGCAGCACTGAGCCTGGGAGAGGAGCCACAGGAAGAAGGCGAGTTTGGGGCACAGCCCCATCGCTCTGTGTGTGTGTGTGTGTGTGTGTGAGAGAGAGAGAGACAGCCCAAACACCAAATCTCTTGTCAAACTTCACCGCCACGCTGTCTTCCCTCTGAACCGAGTGAGTGTGTAGATGGGGGGGTGTTCTTCACTCTCTCATGTTCTGGAAGTGGAGCAGGGAACTGTGCCACCGTGTCCCGGTCTGCTCAGAGCCCTCCTCCCCCTGGCTCTATCCCTAAAGCCTTCCCTTCAAGTTGACGCAAGTTGGGTTCCGTTACTCTGCCTGGCTGCTCGATATCCAAAACAGCCCTGCTCAGCCCTGGTGTCGTTTTCTCTCTAATTCAGGCATGTCCTGGGATAAAACAGACACACTGCACTCCTCCTCAGGGCTCTGCTCAATCCGTACAAACTGCAGCACGCACAGGGAAATGGCAGAAACTTGCTCTCGGCTTGTTCTGCCGGTTTTCCAAGCTGCCTGTTCCCGGGATGGGGAAACAGAGACTGTTTCTTTTTCCAGACCCTGTTCAGTAACAGGAGCAGCGGTTTCCCCCTCTCAGACCCACACCACTCCCTCTGGGTCCTAAAGCCACTCCCAGACAATCTCACTGAAAGGCAGTGCCAGCACCAGGTTTGGCCCCCGAACACGGTCCCAGTGGGACGCAAACCGACCCTCAGTGCTGGCTTCATCAGGAGTGAGTGCAGCCCAGGGATCTTCAATCCCCAAACTCAGCAGCACTCACTGGGAAATAAGACAGGTGGTGGACTCCAGACGGGACTAACACTGCCACCAGGAACAGCAAGAGGAGTCCATTCGGCCCCACCATTCAATCAGATCATTGCTCATCTGTCTGTTTGGAATCTCACATTCCCATCTTTGATCCCTCCTGCCCAATAAAATTCTATCCGCCTCTGTCTTTAAAAAGGTTCAATGACCCTTGTTCCACCATCTTCTGAGGCAGAAAGTTCCAAGCTCTGAGAAAAAAAAATCATTCTCCTCATCTCTGTCCTAAAAACGAGGTCCCAAACTTTCAAACAGCGTCTCACAGTCCCGGACTCAATCCCAAGAGGCAACATGTTCTCCATGTCCCCTTGTCAAGACCACTCAGGGTCTCCTAGACTTCAATCTGGTCACCCCATTGGTCTCCTGCACTCCTGTGGGAACAAGCCCAGTCTGTTCAACCTCTCCCCATCAGACAGCTCATTCAGTCCAGGGATCAATTCAGTCAATCTCTTATCAGCCTTCAAAGCACTGACATTCTTTCTTAAACAAAGAGACCGAAACTTCATGCAATATTTGAGTTGTGTTCTCACCGATGTCCTGTATAACTGAAACACCTTCTCCTTACTTTTACTCTTGTTAGAATAAACGATAGCATCTCATGAGCTTTCTTGATGATGTGCTGTACCTGCAGCTAATGTTTTGTGACTCATACACTGGAGCATCTAAATCCTTCTGCACTTAAGAATTCTGCAGACATTCACCATTTAAGTCAAACTCTTTTTATTCTTGCTGTCAAATTAAATGACTTCTCATTTCCTCACATTGTACTCTGTCAGGTTTCTACCCACTCACTCAACACATCTCAAACCATTGGTAACCTCCTCGTATGTTCTTCACCATAGACTTTGCCATGGCTCTGGGTCATCTGTGACTTTAGCCTCCAGGCCTGTGCTCCCCTCATCACCGTTCTTGCTGTCATGTGTAAAATGTTGAGGTTCCAGCAATATTCCACAGAAACACATTCTGTCAATCAAATAAATGCCCTTTCATACACACTCTCTGTTTTCAGGAAGCCAGCCAGTCTTCCCCCAGTGCTAACACATTAATCCCAACATGACAAACTATCATCTTTACAGTTAAGTTTGAGCTGGCAGCTTACCAAATGCCTCCACTAGCAGATGAACTTCCCTCCCAGTTCTGCACCCACAAACCCCTTTGTTGCTCATATTCAGGAAGCAACTCAGTGCTGAAGACAGACCTGACATAGATAAGAACACAAATGCATTTTTGTTCACCCAATGAATGAAGGGATAGTGAGTACGTGGAGTTAGACCACCCATCAGCCATAATCCCACTGATTGATGGAACAGACTTGATGGGCTGAATGGCTGACGCCTGTTCCAATGTTGACAGAAAGGGAGAATGGTCCCATCACCACACTGTCAGAGAGTGAGTAGTGAGGGAGCGCTGCGCTGTCAGAGAGTCAGTACTGAGGGAGCGCCGCACTGTCGGACGGTCAGTACTGAGGG